TATATATATATATATATACAGTAACCTACTATTTAACTATTCATTAGTAACTGGAGTCCTAAGGCTTCGCAAACTCACCCCTCGCACATTCCTTCCAGGCTTTTACGCCTTTAGCATGCAGTGACCTGTAGCAGAGCCCTGTTGCGAAATCCTCAAAACCCAAAACCTGTCGATATGCAGTGGGCCCGGAACTTTCCATCAGCAACACGAATCTAATCCGGTATAGGGCGAGGCATTAAATCAACCTTCGATCAGCAGGGGGGGGGGTATCAGTGTCAGGTACTTCGATCCTTAGCGTGCAAGTTGTCGAGGAGGGCATCAGGAATAATTGCGACAACTGTGCATTTACATCAGCATTTCTCATCTTTGAGCCCGTAGTCGAAAAGTTGCTATAGGGACGTTACAGCGTGCCGGGAAATTATAACAATTATTCAAGATTGCCAGTCTTGCTATCTTGGTCTCGCCGACTAGCTTACCTTTTAGACCAAGATTGCGACCAAGATTGCCAAGACGGTTCCGCGAAATAACTGTTCTAAATTCCCGGCACAATAGAACATCATCATTGCTGCCAGTCGTGATGGCTATGACAGCAAACCTGTCAAGCTCAACTGGCCTGAACACCGACCGAGAATGGTCACAAATTACTTGTCGGAACCCGTACATCCATACATATGCATATATGACCCGGGCTATTGCGAATTATAAGGGGATGGGCTGACAGTCAGTGCAAGCTCTTCTTTAGGATCCTCCTGGGCAGACCTCAGTCGCTGACAGATCCTTCATAGTCGGAATACGGTCTGGGGTGTGTTGTTCTATCTTACACAGGGACCGCAAAGAGATGGTGCAAGTCGACTACAACTGTTTTTAGGAACCCCGAGAACTAATATGCGTAATGCATCAGGCCTCTATATGAACCCTATAGCCCGAACTGTCTGAACCACTTGGTGTCGCCCGTTCAGACAGAGTGCTGCGACCTCCCTGGGCAGTCGAAGTCAAAGCACATGATTTGCACCTCGGAAGTTGCTTCCCTAAGGAACCGGCTTTAAGGCCAAAGTATGTACTATGTAGGTACGTGGCCTTCGGGAGGGGGCTTTAGGCTGGTTCAGGGCATGGAAAGCAGGATTCCAGGTTAAGGGCTTGAAGTCTGGGACTGAGACTCGCAAGCGACAGAATCCAGGCCAGGCTTACAATGAGTCAGTTCAGAAACTGGCCCTGAGGGCTGCTGTCTCAGAGCTGAGATAGAGACACGGCACTGGGCGCCAGCCGACGGACGAAGCTCAGAACGACAACGTCTCAGCAAGCGGCCAGAATAGGATGCCGCGGAAAACAGCAAGCACAGAACCACACCCTAAACCCGAGATATCACTAAACACCATGACCCTCAACCGTAGCCCTGCAACCGAAAGACATACCAAGCCCCAAGTTTGCTACCTGCTACCCCTTCAGCTCATGGGCCTTGCTTTTTTCTTGCGAATGGAGGCTCTCAGTCCCAGCTCGAGTGCTTCGGGGCGTGTGGATGCCAGGAAACTCAGAAATTTGCCAGATTTTGATAAATAGGGCTTGTGAATGGTGAATTAGGTTTATTTTTTTCTTAGGGATTAGGGGTATACTATAACACTTACATACATCCGTCTATAACCCTCAACATCCCAACATCGCAGATAGGTTAGGTCGCCTTTCTGGCCTGGCTTTCTCCACATGACCCCAAGCTGAAGGAAAGGCGCTGCGTTTGCTTGAGTCGCTCCTGCAAGCAATGTTCTGTGACTACGCCGGGAAGCCGACCAGATCATCCTCCACAGGCCGAAGTGGCAAGTGACACTGGCTGAAACAGCAGCCACCACCTCTGTGACGGATCCCACCAACTACACTTGCACAATTCTCATATGATGCAAAGTGTATCGCTAGACCTTTTCCCTGAAGCCTACAAGCCTAAACCCTAAATTTAAATCCCAAACAAACCCGGCACTACCTTAAGAACCCAAAACCCACTTTCTTGTAGGTTCTTATTACAAAACCCTAATATGGGATTTATAGGGACCCTACAAAAAAGTAGGTTTTGGGTTCTTAAGGCAGAACCTAACATACCCTAACAGAGTCTCTTGCCGGTCCGGTCTGCTTCCAGCGCGGTTTCCCTGTCTGATGCTCAGTCCACCTTCTTCGGGGCCGCGGGAGCCTCGTCGGAAGAAGAGCTGCTGCCGAAGAGGGCACTCATCCCCTGAGATACGGCCTCATGTGGGTGGTTATCAAAATTAGGGTCCCTTTTTGGGATACCGTAAATAATAGGTGCCGTACTATAATAAGGACCCAAAAAGGGACCACCCATGTGGGTTCAGGGCTTTCCGCTCTCACAACCCAGGTCTTTAGGATTTGAGGCTTTAGGGCTTTGGGCGTGGGCTTTTCGGATTCAGGGTTGAGGGCTTGGGGTTGAGAGTTTGAAAGGCTTGGGCCCCAGGGTTCATTCTTCATGGGTTTAGGGTTTAGGGTTTAGGGTTTAGGGAACATCAGTGTCCGGATGCGCTCAAAGTGACAAATATGGAATCTCAGCATTAATCATCACAACTTTCAGGGATTCACTGTAAGGCCTCATCGAAGGACTCCAGGGCAGCGGACACCTGACTGGCGGCGCTCTCCACGAAGCTTCCCTCCTCCGACTCCTCCTAGACAAACAGGGCTAACCTTGTTGAATAATATGGTAGAAATATATTAACCCTAAAAGGTTACGTGTTCCCGTTTCAGCTGCGAAGTCCTGAATCATCAAGCTCCTGTCTCCGTTTGCAGACTTCAGCTCCTGCTGCAATCCCGCTGCGGAGATGATCGTGATCAGGTCCAACATGGCGATTCAAGCAAGGCGTTCGGAGAATGCTCACAATCAGAAGGCTGAATGCCTCTTTGCAAATTGCTCTTGCGCCAGAACGGCAACGGCTCTTTAAGGTTCTATGAGTTTCAAACTTACTTAAAATCAGGGGGCTTAGCCACTCGGAAATACATAGTATACTTCTAAGTGTGACAACCCTGATCAGGGCATGTAGAGCTCCATCCTGCCAACGTCACCCTAAAGACCCAAAGCCCCAAGCTCAAAACCCCAAAACCGCAAAGCACACACAAGTCTTAAACCCTAAAACACCAAGAACTACTCAACGCCCCAAACCTAAATCCCTCGCAAGGCCCAACGAGAGAGCTTCGAACCATCTCTGCCCAGCCCGGCACCGTCGTAGTCGTCGTGGTCCCGGGCTCCACTGGAATCCTCAAGGAACAACTATTTTTTGGTTTGAGGTTTAGGGTCCAGGGTTTAGGGTCTGGGGTTTAGGGTTGAGGGTTTGGGGGTTTACGGGAAATTTATTGGTCTTTTTGGGTCCAAGATAGGGATCCCAAGGGTTAGAAAATATTAAAGGCACTTCTGGCTACTCAAGGGTCTTAGAGGGCCAGGGTCTGATATAGGAATCTTAACGCTTAGAAAAAGGACGTGGGATAGATCAGTTGTGTCTCATTCTGCCAAAGACCACAGAAACTGCAGGGTGATGAAAAAAGCACGATATTCTAGGAACTCGACATGCTGAATGGGTTTGATACAAGAGAATTCAATATCCAAAAAACATGAATGACCACGGGCAAGACAGCTAGAAAGACTGCGCTTCGGGAACCAGTGGAGGGCCACCAACTCGAAGCTGAGATGCTGTCTCTCTGAAAAGACTGCTAGACGCCTGTGGTCACGACGACAACCCTGCTTTGTAAAAGTCATGAGGGGACTTACAGGGTACAACGGTCTGATGAAAGCCCGGTTGAGTCAACAGAAAAAAGGGGAAGGACCCAGCAACCACCGGGCCAACCCGACAACACTTTCTCAAAATCAACCCCGAGGTTCCTTACACCCTGGCAGTGTTCCCAGGTTCCCGGATCAGGGGGTAAAGGGTCCGGGTTTAATACAAGGGCTTCGTTATTACTTAAGCCTCTATAGTGGCTTGAATACGAGGAAATTCATGCCCGAAGCACCGAAAATCGGCTGGAAGCAGCAGAGCCACATCGGCCAGGGCGTTACCCCGGCGCCAGTCTGTCCGTGGAGTGTCAGCTGCGAGGTTCGACCACGGCGAGGGTCAATCCTGGTGAACAGGTTCATGCGCCACATAAATTAAAAAAATGTTTCATATTCCTGGGATATATATATATATATATGTGTGTGTGTGTGCATGCATGCATGTATGTATGTGTGTGTCGATTCATACATGCCTCTCTCCCCCACTGTCTGTGCACATACAGATTTTATGTAGCTGCTACGGTTTTGGAAGCTCTCCGGGCTGTCTGGAAGCGACACATGCACAGACAGTCAAACACGGAGTGAATGTTTTGAGTTTTGAGGAATAGACTCTAAACCCTAAACCGAAAATGCAGGGTGTTCCACCCTGCTCCACCGCTTCCATGCCAAGGAACCTCAGGATAGTGACCGCGGTCTCAGGGATGCAGTAAATGAAGCCTTCAGATTCCAGGGTTACCGAAAATAGGGGACCCTAATATAGCACCCTAAATAGTAGGATCCTTCTTATAAGGACCCCCAAAAATAATAAGGTACTCCTATTTTTCAGAAACCCCATTTCCAGCCACAGTTCTGGGTCTAGGGTCCTAAGTCATGGCTCAGCAGCATGTAAATGCCAAGTGCTCCTAGCACCTCGGACTCAGATGTAGACGATACCTTATAACGATGTAGCAAGTCTGCCGACATTCTGTGCGTGACTCGACGGTTGCACGGGCGATGGGGTCAACCAAAACCCTGAAGGAAGTCTAAGACAGACTGAACTGACTAAACCATCAGCTCCCGATCTACATCCCTGCTTTGCAGGAGTAGGCCAGGGGCCGTCGACGGCGAGGATTCCTTCTCGCCACTTGGCCAGTCCGGGTTCAAAGGATCCAAAAGTTGAGACCTGAGGGGGGGCGGTTCTCGGATGTATACTATGGTATACGATAGTATGTTAAAGCTTATTTATATTGGGCTTTAACTTAGGGTTTAGGATGTATAGTATGGTATCTGATAGTGTGTTAAAGCTTAATGTTTATTACAGTATATTAGGATTTAACTTAGGGCTTCGGGTATAGGATATAGGGCTTAGGAGCTACTGGTACGGTTGTGGCTGGAAAGGTTTACGGGATAGGGTCTGGGATTCAGGATTAAGGGAAGCCACCATAGATGTCGCTATCTGGCTTCGGGCTCACTTTCCGGGGAGTTCCAGCTACTTGGATCTGGCTCTTCTGCCTCGGAAGTCCAAGGCATCAAGGTAAGGGCGGCAACCCTGAACCCTAAAACGTGCCACCCAAACACTAATTCCTAAAACTCGAATCGAATGACACCGAGTTTTGGGCATATTGAGGTCTAGATTAACAAAAACGGCAGCTTTGGGTCGAAGGTCGAAGGTCCGGAAGCATAGGGATGGTCCGGCCCCTTTCTAATCCACATAGTCTGTAAGCCTGAACAGTTCGTAATGATGTCCCGATTGCTTTTTGAAAGCCAGGCCTCCTGTGGTGTTGCCGGGTTACCATGCCCAAACACCATCGGCTGTTTGGAAATGCACAGCCCAGCTTACGACAACAGCGGGCACACAATCCTAAATCCTGAACTCTCAACCATAAACGTGCATAGATAGCCCATCACTACGCTACATGCTTTCGCATCTCATCCCCTAAACTCCTCAACATCCAATTCTCTGAAAGTTGCAAATTCTGCCCTCAGACTCCTGAAAGCCCTTACTTGTGGATGCACGGAGCTTCAACGTCTTATAGAACCCCAGAGCAAAGCCGGAAGGTAGCGAATGTAGGAGCTTTAATAATTAGAGTTGGGCTTTGAGGTATACTGTACTATAACTATGATAAGGAACGCTAGGGAATAATATTGGTAATTACAAAGGCTTCAATATTGAACTCGCCGGCCTCATCCGTGTCGGGTCGAATCCGAAGCACCTTCCCCACGGAGTACGGGACGCCATAAATGTTTCCTCGGTTTAGGGTTTCGAAGCGGGACTGGGGAGGTTTGGGATGCAGGGTATTCATGGGCCCACAAAAGGTATGAGTAGATGCAGAGCTGCAAGGCCGAAAAACATCAACAACTTCTACCTGAAACTGACACCTAATCGATTCTAAGGACTGATGAGAAGAAGACTATTTAAAACAAATGATTATCAAAAACAACCGAAAATTCAAGGAATTACGATTCACAGTTTGCGGGCTCAAAATTACACAATTCTGGGCTTCATGATATCGGGATTTAACGAATCCAATTTAATCCGATTGATATACCCAACCTGAATACATCCATACATTCACAAAATACCCATAATAACCCTACGTATAAACAATAATATGGGCAAAGGGTTCATCACAACTCGAAGTTCTTGCAACGCATGTCTAAGGTCTGAGATCTGCACGACCTGGCAATAGCACTTTTCTTTGCTACACCAGAAAGACATGTCCAATCCTCCTGTGAGTTTTGAGTTCACAAAACCCATGCTCACGTAAAACATGCTAGCACCCGAAGCCCACTAAACTCAAAGCCTGGCCAATGCAAGCAAGCCACCATCGCCAGCCAACACTGCATGGTTCCACTTTGCCAGCTTTGGTTGGAACTGGCCGAAGGTGGTGGCCTGCTTCAGGCGGTTGCTCCCCATGATAGCGGCTCGGCGAAAGCAACAGGCAGTTGACTATCTGTGCATTCATCTGCAGAGGGCTATCTGTGCGTCAGCTCTTGGCCTGCTCCGGACACGGTACTTCATGAGTAGGATTAGAAGTAAGGTAACTATGGTTATGTCGATGTATAGCCCTAATCGGGGCACTGGTAACCCCACTAAGTCTCATGACTCAGTGATCCTTCAAATACACATGACAGGGTGCTGTACCATCCTGTGGCATGCGGGGAGCGCCACCCGTGTGGCCGAGCTCACAGCGACAGTAGAAACGAAGCAAAGCTTCGTAAGAGAAACGGGTTGAGGGTTTAGAGATTAGGGTTTAGGGGTGCTAGCTGCCAGAACAAACATCCAAGTTCAACCAAGTGCGCACGACAGAGGTAGCTAGCAGAAGGACTGTCAACAAGTATGGGAGCATCTGGTAGTACTGGCATGCCGAGAAAACCATGCAGAAGCAGAAGCAGTCGCGGCAGTCGCCCTCGTGTTGCAGGGTCGTCAGCACTTGCTGACAACATCGAAGCGGAAACGATCATCACAAATCGTTGACAGTAACTTAGGATGCTCACCATTCTCCCCTAAACCCTGAAGCCTATCCCAGAGGGTTCATATAGACGTATGTAAGCCCACTTCCTATTAAACTCATCATAATCAATACCATCAGCGGCATTTTCATTATGTACAGTAGTGTCCTTTGCGGCGAGACAACTACCACCCCATCAGCAGCAACCCTAAACCCTAAACCTGAGGATCATCACCGTATTGCTGAAATGACAAGTGCCCAGGCCTGGGCGACGGCCCCGTCGACGCTGATCTTCAGCACCGAGGTGGCCCACAAGGGAACCTGCAGCTCAAAATTTACAGTGTGGGTGCTGGGATTAGAATATTCTGGAGGCTTGAAAGGTTAAGGGTTTAGGGAGCTTAGAGATAGATGAGGTTGGAGGTTGTAGAAACTGTGGGTTTCATTGAATCCCACGTGGTCTGCAGCATAATTTCTTTCTGCTTGCCTGTCAAGGCTGTCTGTGAAGTCCACATGCGTAAACTTGCTCATTCAGCTGCTTATGTCTGCACTTTTGTTTACTTATGCCCGGTCAGCAGTTTTGGGGCCCCCTTCAACTACTGTCAGTCTCTCACGCATAAGTCTCGCAACCCCCCTTGCGGATCTCCAGTCCACAAAACTCGCCCTACATCGCCCTACCGTTTTGGGGTGTAGGATAACAAGACAAGGGCCATCTGCAATGTAAGCCACGGCATAGACATGCCCTGTCTTTGCGACCACGGCCGAGCGCCAGTTGTGCATCTTCACTCCTCATCTTGAACGATCGAGGGTCGACTTGGTGCAACTAGTCACTGCTCATCGAAAACAGATGCGCCGGGCTTGAAGGGAATCAAGCTCGAGATCGAGACTCGTGTTGTTCACCGTCTACAGAGTTCGTCACAACCAGGTCCGAGAAGTGTTTCAAAAACTTCGGTTCCACTGCAGGCGCTACTGAAGCCGATTAGCAGATTAGGTTCAATTTGTTTTGCCAATCAATCATACAGTGCCGACCAGACTGCGTTACCCTCACAAGTTTTCAACTCAGCAGAAGGGTGCGAAACCTAAGCCGAAATTAAAAACTGAGCCGAAACGAAATCGCTCATGGATTTCGACTAGAACCCTGAGCTCCAATCCTGAGGCCCTAAATCTTCAACCTATATACAAGATCGACGAGGTGAGTCGCCGTGGCAGTCGAACCCACGACTCGTCTCGATACGACCTGAGGGATGCCAACGCCAGGGCCCCGAAACAGAAACTGCAGGATATAGATAGAGATGTAATAAAGATATAGGATGTAGTTACAAAAAGAGGTACACATATAAATGATCTAGATATAATGAACAAAAATTCTTTAGGGCTGCAGTTACCTATTGTATGCTTAATAACTTACTGTTTATGTAACTTGGGCCCTGGGTAGAGGTAAAGGAAGCTGGAGCAATCCCTGCCTTCTAGACTGCCGGCTTTTTGAACGAGAGATGTCGTTTTGGGTGCTACGCTCATGACAAGACCTCGGCCAGGTCCAACCTTAAGCTTGGTTTAAGAATGCAAGGATCCTGAAGCCGGATGTCTCATGGAACTTTGGAAACCTCAAGAGACCCTACAGTGCACAGTCGGCCCATCCACACAAGGAGCCTCTGATTCTAAGAGCCCCTCGCACCTAAAGCTTAGGGACCCATGGCTTGCCTTGCCGGAGGCACTTCAACGGCGACTCGAAGGAATAACCCTAAGTATACGTGTCCATGAAAATACCTGTTTGTAATAGATGTTGGCCAGTGCAAAGGAGTTCCGATGACATGTGCTCTCGGGCCAAGGAAAGCAGATGCGTAATATAGGGGCTTTAATAGTTAGAATAGGGTTTTGGGCTCCTTGATAGTATAGTTTCTCTCGCGTGTTGAAAGCTGAAAGGTTTACCAAAGACTGACACCGCTCTGTCGGTGCTCCACCCTTTGCCCGAATCACTCTAGTGACCGGGCCGCAACCTCCCTACAAACAGCCCCGACTCCCAGTACTCAAAGGCTCAGACAAGCCTAAACCCGAGGCCACAATGCCCAGCAACCATGGTCCATGCCAGCCAAGAGAATCGAGCACCTCAATTCCCAGCCAAAGCAGTCATGCCATGACTAGCATAGTGTGCCTGAGGCTGTGTCAGGCTGGTCTTGGACTCACCATGTTGAGTACATCTAATCACTGAGGCTGTCAGACCGTGCCTGAACGCTTGCAAACTGTGGTTGTGGCTAAGCTCCGTAGGAACCGGAGGAAGACTGTAGAACAATGAGGTCGAAAGGCTTGGGCTGTGATTTGATAGGATACGCAGGGCCTCTGGATCGTAGAGGCTTCGGATCCCCGTCCTTGTGTCGGGGCTTTAGAGTTAGGGGTATAGGGCGTGTAGGCTCAAGGTTTAGAAGATTAGTCTTCGGGCTTGGGGCATGGGGTTGAGCAGATTAGAAGACTGTTCTGAAGGCTACAGGGCTTTACACTCGATGCCGGGTCTAAACCCTCCAACCCACAAAGACACCTCCAAAGAAGCACACCTACAACTCTGAAGTTAGGGTGTGAATCAGAAAAACAACCAGAAACGTCACTTTCAAGTTCCCCACTGCCGAAGTGGGATCCCTAAAATCCCCCCCGACATCCCTTGCTTTCGAGAGCCTGTCACCATAAGACCCTAAGGGCAGTGTAACTTTTACTACTAGCACGACTATGATTACCACCTGTACTGTTCTTACTTATGCTATCCTTTTCTGCTTTTTTAAAACCTTATAAGCCCGAAGCCCTGTACTTTGATGGCTTGGTCACTCTGAGTCCGGAAGTCCCAGCAGGTGATCCTTGAAGCTTGGCCCGGGTGTCCACCTGATTCTTGGCAGGGCTTTCGTTTACCGGGCTTTAAGGTGGTTCAGGGGATTCAGGTTTTTGGAGGTTGGGGTATCTGATATCTGGTGGCCTCAGACTGATTTGGAAGCTTTGGGGTGTATGCTCTCACACCCGAGCTCAGACAGACGAGATTCTTGGCTCGATTGGGGGGTTAAGGCTTTCGATGTAGGATTTGGGGAAGCAGAGTTTTTGGTTGTGGGATTCAGGGTTTATGGTATAGGATTTGGGGGGCAGGGCTTGATAATCTAAGGGTGAGGATTCGAGGTTCAGGATCACTCGTCGAACGTGCTGGTGGCTGCAACGCTAGACAGCCAACGGGAAGTTTTCCATGTTATACTTCGGGGGTTTGGGGCACTTCCGGGTAAGAATCCACCTTGGATCACCTTGGTCTTTAGGCTGCGGGTCCAAACCGAGAGTGAGTGTCTTGAAGGTTCAGCGTTGCAACGATAGTCAACACTGCATGTGGCCTTAATGATTCGAAGACGGTTTTGGGGTGTAACATAGCATACTTCGATTAAATAGGAACCCTATTGTTGATAATTAGTTAAGCCCCATGTTGGAGAACATCTGGACGTCCGGTGAGTCTCCGAGTTGACTCTCGCGGGCTTTAAAAACTGATGTTTTGCATGAGCTTACTCTGAGACACTGGAAACCTAAACCGAATTCCTAAACCCCAAACCCTAGACCCCTAAACCCTAAACCCTTTGGGTTTTAGATCCTAAGCCCCAAAGGAGGAGCCTTGCAAGCTTCCGAAAGATTGCACGAGAGGACACAGGGTCGGGAGATTCAAACATGCCTGGAAGTCTCTATCCCTAAACCCTAAACCATAACCCTAAGGGTCCAAAGGACCCAATAATCAGGTACTTTGGTTACGGATAGCAGTTATATAGGTTAATATTGGAAGAGTACATGATTATTAGGTACTTGGACCCTTAGGGTACGGTGTAGCCGTGGATAGACCCAATGCCATGATGCCAATACTTTCCGTATAAAGCCTGTGGCCCTCATGTAGGGGCCTTAATAATTAGAATAAGGTCTTGGGGGGCTCCTTACAATCCTTATAGCATAATACACCCCCCAACCCTGTTCTAATTATTCAGCCCCCTCTATTAAATCCTAGATCGCTACCTCCGCTACTGCCAACGGACTCGGGGGCGGTACCTGCCCAGCTAATCCAACTAGGTCCCCTGATCCTGATAGTGTCTCTTAAGCCACTGAATCGCACACCCTGATCCCGGAAGGAACAAGCAGCCGAGCGGCCGAAAGCGACCTTCACGGTTGCACGCACAGCTTTTGGTTTAACGTGCAAGTCCGTTGGGTTCGCGTGTAGAAGTTCTTGTCAACTGATAGTCGAGTGTGGTGCGCAGGGTTTCGGACTAGGGTCTGCATGGGTTCTCGAGCTGAGGGATTACTTGGAGGTTGGGATTAAGGTGGAGCTTACCACAACCCTATATCTTTGCCAAGAATGCCCTACATCTGCTTTGGAAAGTCTGCTCGTTGGCTCTTGAGTCTCGTATGCCTTTACAATGCCGATCTTCATCTGTGTCTTCATGATCATCGGCATCTTCAAAATAAGCGATTATTCTAGTCATCGGTGCCATCATCCGAGGCACCATGTTGTCACTATTACCATCCACCATCATGCATATCGGACCTCTGCTGGAGTTGAACGGTGTGGATATCGGTTTAGGTCGTGGAGTCGAGGGTTCAAGGTTTAGGGGACTCGGGGGGGGGGGGGGGGGGG